ATGAGTGAGTGAATGTATGAGTGAGTGAGTGAGTCAATGAGTGAGTGAGTGAGTGAATGAGTGAGTGAATGTATGAGTGAGTGAGTGAATGAGTGAGTGAATGTATGAGTGAGTGAGTGAATGAGTGAGTGAATGAGTGAATGAGTGAGTGAATGTATGAGTGAGTGAGTCAATGAGTGAGTGAATGAGTGAGTGAATGTATGAGTGAGTAAATGAGCAAATGAGTGAGTGGATGAGTGAGTGATTGAGTGAATAAGTGAATGAATTAGTGTATGAGTGTAGGAGTGAGTGAGTGAGTGAGTCAATGAGTGAGTGAGTGAGTGAATGAGAGAGTAAATGTATGAGTGAGTGAGTCAATGAGTGAGTGAATGAGTGAGTGAATGAGTGAGTGAATGCATGAGTGAGTGAGTGAGTGAATGAGTGAATGAATGAGTGAGTGAGTGAATGAGTGAATGAATGTATGAGTGAGTGAATGTATGAGTGAGTGAGTGAGTGAATGAGTGAGTGAATGTATGAGTGAGTGAGTGAGCCAATGAGTGAGTGAGTGAATGTATGAGTGAGTAAGTAAGTGAATGAGTGAGTGAGTGAATGAGTGAGTGAATGTATGAGTGAGTGAGTCAATGAGTGAGTGAATGAGTGAGTGAATGTATGAGTGAGTGAGTGAATGAGTGAGTGAGGGAATGAGTGAGTGAATGTATGAGTGAGTGAGTGAATGAGTGAGTGAATGTATGAGTGAGTGAGTGAGTCAATGAGTGAGTGAATGAGTGAGTGAATGTATGAGTGAGTGAGTGAATGAGTGAGTGAATGAGTGAGTGAATGAGTGAGTGAATGTATGAGTGAGTGAGTGAGTCAATGAGTGAATGAGTGAATGAGTGAGTGAATGTATGAGTGAGTGAGTGAATGAATGAGTGAGTGAATGAGTGAATGAGTGAGTGAATGTATGAGTGAGTGAGACAATGAGTGAGTGAGTGAATGAGTGAGTGAAAGTATGAGTGAGTAAATGAGTCAATGAGCGAGTGGATGAGTGAGTGAATGAATGAATAAGTGAATGAATTAGTGTATGAGTGAGTGAGTCAATAAGTGAGTGAGTGAATGAGAGAGTGAATGTATGAGTGAGTGAGTCAATGAGTGAGTGAATGAGTGAGTGAATGCGTGAGTGAATGCATGAGTGAGTGAGTGAATGAGTGAATAAATGTATGAGTGAGTGAATGTATGAGTGAGTGAGTCAATGAGTGAGTGAGTGAGTGAATGAGTGAGTGAATGAGTGAGTGAATGTATGAGTGAGTGAGTGAGTCAATGAGTGAGTGAGTGAGTGAATGTATGAGTGAGTGAGTGAATGAGTGAGTGAGTGAATGAGTGAGTGAATGTATGAGTGAGTGAGTCAATGAGTGAGTGAATGAGTGAGTGAATGTATGAGTGAGTTAATGAATGAATGAGTGAATGAATGAATGAGTGAATGAATGAGTGAGTTTGGTACCCGGCCAGCATGGTGTACAGGAGCATGACTGAGTGAGTGAATGAGTGAATGAGTGAGTGAATGAGTGAGTGAGTGAATGAGTGAGTGAGTGAATGAGTGAGTGTGGTACCCGGCCAGCATGGTGTACAGGAGGATGAGTGAATGAGTGAGTCAATGAGTGAGTGAGTGAGTGAATGAGCGAGTGAGTGAATGAGTGAATGAATGAGTGAATGAGTGAGTGAATGAGTGAGTGAGTGAGTGAGTGAATGAGTGAGTGAATGCATGAATGAGTGAATGAGTGAGTGAATGAGTGAGTGAATGAATGAGTGAGTGAATGAATGAGTGAATGAGGTACCCAGCCAGCATGGTGTACAGGAGGATGAGTGAATGAATGAGTGAATGAATGAGTGAATGAATGAGTGAATGAGTGAATGAATGAGTGAATGAATGAGTGAATGAGGTACCCAGCCAGCATGGTGTACAGGAGGATGAGTGAATGAGTGAGTGAATGAGTGAATGAATGAGTGAATGAATGAGTGTGGTACCCAGCCAGCATGGTGTACAGGAGGATGCGTGAGTGAATGAATGAGTGAATGAATGAGTGAATGAATGAGTGTGGTACCCAGCCAGCATGGTGTACAGGAGGATGAGTGAGCGAATGAGTGAATGAATGAGTGAATGAATGAGTGAATCAATGAGTGAATGAATGAGTGAATGAGGTACCCAGCCAGCATGGTGTACAGGAGGATGCGTGAGTGAATGAGTGAATGAATGAGTGAATGAATGAGTGAACGAGTGAGTGAATGAATGAGTGAATGAGGTACCCAGCCAGCATGGTGTACAGGAGGATGCGTGAATGAGTGAGTGAGTGAATGAATGAGTGAGTGAGTGAGTGAATGAATGAGTGAATGAATGAGTGAATGAATGAATGAGTGAATGAATGAGTGAATGAATGAGTGAATTGAGTACCCAGCCAGCATGGTGTACAGGAGGATGCGTGAGTGAATGAGTGAGTGAATGAGTGAATTAATGAGTGAATGAATTGAGTGAGTGAATGAATGAGTGAATGAATGAGTGAATGAGATACCCAGCCAGCATGGTGTACAGGAGGATGAGTGAATGAGTGAATGAATGAGTGAATGAATGAATGAGTGTGGTACCCAGCCAGCATGGTGTACAGGAGGATGAGTGAGTGTATGAGTGTATGAGTGAGTGAGTGAATGAATGAGTGAATGAATGAGTGAATGAATGAGTGTGGTGCCCAGCCAGCATGGTGTACAGGAGGATGCGTGAGTGAATGAGTGAGTGAATGAGTGAGTGAATGAATGAGTGAATGAGTGAATGAATGAGTGAATGAGTGAACGAATGAGTGAATGAATGAGTGAATGAATGAGTGAATGAATGAGTGAATGAATGAGTGAATGAGATACCCAGCCAGCATGGTGTACAGGAGGATGCGTGAGTGAATGAGTGAGTGAATGAATGAGTGAATGAGATACCCAGCCAGCATGGTGTACAGGAGGATGAGTGAGTGAATGAGTGAATGAATGAGTGAATGAGTGAATGAATGAGTGAATGAGTGAATGAGATACCCAGCCAGCATGGTGTACAGGAGGATGAGTGAGTGAGTGAATGAGTGAGTGAATGAGTGAATGAGATACCCAGCCAGCATGGTGTACAGGAGGATGAGTGAGTGAGTGAATGAGTGAATGAATGAGTGAATGAGATACCCAGCCAGCATGGTGTACAGGAGGATGAGTGAGTGAGTGAATGAGTGAGTGAATGAGTGAGTGAATGAGTGAATGAGTGAATGAATGAGTGAATGAGATACCCAGCCAGCATGGTGTACAGGAGGATGAGTGAGTGAGTGAATGAGTGAGTGAATGAGTGAATGAATGAATGAGTGAATGAGATACCCAGCCAGCATGGTGTACAGGAGGATGAGTGAGTGAGTGAATGAGTGAGTGAATGAGTGAATGAATGAATGAGTGAATGAGATACCCAGCCAGCATGGTGTACAGGAGGATGAGTGAGTGAATGAGTGAGTGAATGAGTGAATGAGTGAATGAATGAGTGAATGAATGAGTGAATGAATTAATGAATGAGTGAATGAGGTACCCAGCCAGCATGGTGTACAGGAGGATGAGTGAGTGTATGAGTGTATGAGTGAGTGAATTAGTGAATGAGTGAGTGAATGAGTGAATGAATGAGTGAATGAATGAGTGAGTGAATGAGTGAGTGAATGAGTGAATGAGATACCCAGCCAGCATGGTGTACAGGAGGGTGAGTGAGTGAATGAGTGAGTGAATGAGTGAATGAATGAGTGAATGAGTGAATGAATGAGTGAATGAGGTACCCAGCCAGCATGGTGTACAGGAGGATGAGTGAGTGAGTGAATGAGTGAGTGAATGAGTGAATGAATGAGTGAATGAATGAGTGAATGAGATACCCAGCCAGCATGGTGTACAGGAGGATGAGTGTGTGAGTGAGTGAATGAATGAATGAGTGAATGAATGAGTGAATGAATGAGTGAATGAGGTACCCAGCCAGCATGGTGTACAGGAGGATGCCCAGGCTCCAGATGTCGCAGGCCGCGTCGTAACCTTGCTTCTTCAGAACCTGAGGACGGGGTCAAGGGTCACGGCCAAGGGTCAAGGGTCATGGACAAGTAAGTGGGTGAGTGGGTGAGTGAGTGGTTGGGTGGGTGAGTGAGTGGGCAATTGAGTGAGCATGTGAGTGAGCGAGTGAGCGAGCAGGTGGGTGAGCGAGTGAGTGGGTGAGTGAGTGGGTGAGTGGGTGAGTGAGTGGGCGAGCGAGCGAGTGAGTGAGTGGGTGAGTGGGTGAGTGAGTGAGTGGGCGAGTGAGTGGGCGAGCGGGCGAGTGAGTGAGTGAGTGAGTGAGCAAGTGAGCAAGTGAGTGGGTGAGCGAGTGAGCGAGTGGGTGAGCGAGTGAGTGGGTGAGCGAGTGGGTGAGTGAGTGAGTGGGTGAGTGAGTGAGCGGGCGAGTGAGTGAGTGAGTGAGTGGGTGAGTGGGTGAGTGAGTGGGCGAGTGAGTGGGCGAGCGGGCGAGTGAGTGAGTGAGTGAGTGGGTGAGTGAGCAAGTGAGCGAGTGAGTGGGTGAGCGAGTGAGCGAGTGAGTGGGTGAGTGAGTGGGTGAGTGAGTGAGTGGGTGAGCGAGTGGGTGAGTGAGTGAGTGGGTGAGTGAGCGGGCGAGCGGGCGAGTGAGTGATTGAGTGAGTGGGTGAGTGAGTTGGTGAGTGAGCGAGTGAGTGGGTGAGCGAGTGAGTGGGCGAGCGGGCGAGTGGGCGAGTGAGTGGGTGAGCGAGTGAGCGAGTGGGCGAGTGAGCGAGTGAGCGAGCGAGCGGGCGGGCGACCTCTGGAGCGACGAAGTTGGCGGTGTAGCAGGGCGTCATCAGCAGGCCGTTGTCGGCACGGAGTTGCTTGGCGAAGCCGAAGTCACAGAGCCTCACGGACTCCGGGTCGGCCGACGCGTCCACAAAGAGCATGTTGCTGGGCTTGAGATCCCTGTGCACCACCTGGCCAACACACACAAAGAGCATGTTGCTGGGCTTGAGATCCCTGTGCACCACCTGGCCAACACACACACACACAAACAGCATGTTGCTGGGCTTGAGATCCCTGTGCACCACCTAGCCAACACACACACACACACAAACAGCATGTTGCTGGGCTTGAGATCCCTGTGCACCACCTAGCCAACACACACACACACAAACAGCATGTTGCTGGGCTTGAGATCCCTGTGCACCACCTAGCCAACACACACACACACACAAACAGCATGTTGCTGGGCTTGAGATCCCTGTGCACCACCTAGCCAACACACACACACACACAAACAGCATGTTGCTGGGCTTGAGATCCCTGTGCACCACCTAGCCAACACACACACACACACAAATAGCATGTTGCTGGGCTTGAGATCCCTGTGCACCACCTAGCCAACACACACACACACAAACAGCATGTTGCTGGGCTTGAGATCCCTGTGCACCACCTGGACAACACACACACACACAAACAGCATGTTGCTGGGCTTGAGATCCCTGTGCACCACCTGGACAACACACACACACACAAACAGCATGTTGCTGGGCTTGAGATCCCTGTGCACCACCTGGACAACACACACACACACACAAAGAGCATGTTGCTGGGCTTGAGATCCCTGTGCACCACCTGGCCAACACACACACACACACAAAGAGCATGTTGCTGGGCTTGAGATCCCTGTGCACCACCTGGCCAACACACACACACACACAAACAGCATGTTGCTGGGCTTGAGATCCCTGTGCACCACCTGGACAACACACACACACACAAATAGCATGTTGCTGGGCTTGAGATCCCTGTGCACCACCTAGCCAACACACACACACACAAACAGCATGTTGCTGGGCTTGAGATCCCTGTGCACCACCTAGCCAACACACACACACACAAACAGCATGTTGCTGGGCTTGAGATCCCTGTGCACCACCTGGACAACACACACACACAAACAGCATGTTGCTGGGCTTGAGATCCCTGTGCACCACCTGGCCAACACACACACACACAAACAGCATGTTGCTGGGCTTGAGATCCCTGTGCACCACCTGGCCAACACACACACACACAAAGAGCATGTTGCTGGGCTTGAGATCCCTGTGCACCACCTAGCCAACACACACACACACAAACAGCATGTTGCTGGGCTTGAGATCCCTGTGCACCACCTGGCCAACACACACACACACAAACAGCATGTTGCTGGGCTTGAGATCCCTGTGCACCACCTGGACAACACACACACACACACAAACAGCATGTTGCTGGGCTTGAGATCCCTGTGCACCACCTGGCCAACACACACACACACACAAAGAGCATGTTGCTGGGCTTGAGATCCCTGTGCACCACCTGGCCAACACACACACACACAAACAGCATGTTGCTGGGCTTGAGATCCCTGTGCACCACCTGGCCAACACACACACACACAAACAAAGAGCATGTTGCTGGGCTTGAGATCCCTGTGCACCACCTAGCCAACACACACACACAAACAGCATGTTGCTGGGCTTGAGATCCCTGTGCACCACCTGGACAACACACACACACACACAAAGAGCATGTTGCTGGGCTTGAGATCCCTGTGCACCACCTGGCCAACACACACACACACACACAAAGGTCCCCCGTGTAGCCTCGTACAGTGATGGGGCAAGTGCCGTGAGTAGCGAGTAGCAGCAGCTACCTATGAGCACACAAAGACAAAGATAACCCGTGTAGCCTCGAGCAGACTGTAGGGGCAAGTGCTGTTAGTAGTAAGCGAGTGAGCGAGTGAGCGTGTGAGTGGGTGAGATGAGTGAGTGAGCGTGTGAGCGTGTGAGTGAGCGTGTGAGTGAGCGTGTGAGTGAGCGTGTGAGTGAGTGAGTGAGCGTGTGAGCGTGTGAGTGAGCGAGCGTGTGAGTGAGTGAGTGAGCGAGCGAGTGAGTGAGCGTGTGAGTGAGCGTGTGAGCGAGTGAGCGTACGAGTGAACGTGTGAGTGAGCGTGTGAGTGTGTGAGCGAGTGAGCGTACGAGTGAGCGAGTGAGCGTGTGAGTGAGCGTGTGAGCGTGTGTGTGAGCGTGTGAGTGAGCGAGTGAGCGTGTGAGTGAGCGTGTGAGCGTGTGAGTGAGCGTGTGAGTGAGCGTGTGAGCGTGTGAGCGTGTGAGTGAGTGTGTGAGTGAGCGTGTGATTGAGCGTGTGAGTGAGCGAGCGTGTGAGCGAGCGTGTGACTGAGTGAGCGAGCGAGTGAGCGAGCGAGTGAGCGAGC